CATGATGACATGTAAAGATTTGTTCAGAATTGTGTGAAATCTCAGAACCATAAAATTGTTCTCAGTTGTACAAAGAGAACAACAGAACCGTTTGCCTCAAATTGAAAGCTATTTATATTATATGCTACATAAGAATTTTATATAAGGTTGGAGTAAAGGATTGTTCAGGTGTGACTTGCTAGACATGTTCCATAAAAATTAAAACTTGGAAAGAGAGAGCCAGCTTTCTCCAGCATGACTTCTTAACAGTGGTGGCTGCCCCTAACTTAAATTATTTAAGAAAAAAAATTTGGGCCCCATACAGGTTATTTTTAATTCCGGGTTGGCCCAACTATGTCTGAACATGTTTCTGGTTGACACTCCAGGTTGTCGCTGGCATGAACTACATCTTCACTGTGAAGTTGGGCAGAACCAACTGCAAAAAGGGTGGAGTTGAGACCCTGTGTGCCATTCATAAGGATCCCAAAGTTGCACGGGTAAGACTCACTGTCTACTTTACAATATTGTGATTATCTGTTTACATTTATGGATTTCCATGTTAAAAGAGATTGACCCCTTTTTTTTATTTTTATTTATCTTTTCCTTCAAGGTCATTCAGTGCAAAATAACGGTCTGGAGCCAGCCATGGTTAAACTTCCTTAAAGTCACTGAAAAAACCTGCATTTAGAGCGTGACGAGTGCAGTTTGGGGCTTTTTAACATTTCAAGCGGCAATAAAATGTACTTGCTGTTGGTAATGGTAAACTTCGTCTTTATTCTTGATAAAATATAAACTTTATTTGTCCTGAGAACCTGTCAACAAATTATGATAAGAATACTTCATTAACACATAATCATGTAATCTCATTAGACTCCGTTGCTCTGAAAAAAGCTACAATTTGTAGGTATTTCTAAATGATAAAACGCATGTTTCTATATTGGTTCATCCTTTACTATTAAAACATGTTTTAACCGTATGTCTGTGTGCTCCCAGCCGGCACATGACTGACCTTCAACGTTGAAATAATGACAGTTGTCATTTCAACCTTGAAACAACTAATG